CACTTGCGATCCAGCTCTCTGCTATGGCATGGGAAAGCAGAGGAAGATGGCCCAAGTCCTTGGGCCCCTGCACCCATGTGGATCTGCATCTGCCTCTCTGTAATTCTGCCTTTCACGTAAATAAATAAATCTTTTAAAAAATGTATTAACCCGAGTAGTCTTAACATTAATCTTAAGCTGTTGTTTTGTGTAGATAAAAAGTCTCATCTGTTACTATGTTCCTTGTACCTAGAAACCATCTATGAACTTTTTTGTTATTGTTAGCACAGTTTTGCTGGTGATGAATTACCTGAGCTTTTGTTTGAAAAATATCTCCTTTTACCTTAAATTTTGAAAGTGTTTGTGGACAAGAATTCTGGGTTGGTCATATTCTTTCCACTCAACATGAGCAGTGCAGCTCGGGCTCATCCTACAGTCTCCGAGCCGCCTGGAACTCTTGCTCTTTTCCTTTGCATGCGATGGCCTTTCCTTCTGGTGGCCTCCAAGGTTTTCCTGTGTCTGCTTTTTAGCAGTTTGAATTTTTGTGCCTACGTGTGATGTTTCTTTCTGTGTTATTGGTGTTTGTCCTGTTTAGGTCTCTCTGAGCTTTTGACATCTTCGGTGGACATCTGCTGTTTCTCAGGATGCCTCGGCCTCTTCAGCATGTCCTTTACGTCTCTTCTCTACCCCAGTCACTTGTGTAGTTGACTGTGTGGCATGATGGTCCTGCCCTCCGTGGCCCTGCTCTCATCTCTCTTTTGGTTTTAGGGCTGGAATGATTTATACACGTTGAATATCCTGTATCTAAGATCCTGGGGACCAAGGGTCTTTCAGATTTCTATTTTTTTTTAAAGATTCATTTATTTATTTGAAAGTCAGTGTTACACAGAGAGAGGAGAGGGAGAAGGAGAGGGGAAGAGAGAGAGAGAAAGAGAAAGAGAGAGAGAGGGAGGTCTTCCCTCCGATGGTTCACTCCCCAATTGACTGCAATGGACGGAACTATGCTGATCTGAAGCCAGGAGGCAGGAGCTTCTTTTGGGTCTCTCACGTGGGTGCAGGGGCCCAAGGACTTGGGCCATCTTCTACTGGTTTCCCAAGCCATAGCAGAGAGCTGGATTGGAAGAGGAGCAGCCGGGCCTAGAACCTGTGCCCATATGGGATGCCGGCACTTCAGGCCAGGGCGTTAACCTGCTGCACCACAGCACCGGCCCCAGATTTCACATTTCTGTGAGATTTGGGAACATCTGCATAGACGTAATGAGTTCCCTTGGAAACTAGGTTCAAGTGTAGACATGCCTGCATCTGAGTTTCATGTGTGCCCTGTACACACAGCATTCTCCATGTGCCTTGTTTTCCCTGTAGCCTCTGAGTCACTGAGGCTGGGTATGGGATTTTCTACTTGTGTTCAGGCAGTTTTGCATTTGGGAGTTTTTTTAATTTCAGATTCTGAAATGGGGATGCTCACCCTATATTGACCTTTTATCAAAGTCACTAGGTCTTTTTTTTTTTTTTTTTTTTTTTTTTTTTTTTTTTTTTTGACAGGCAGAGTGGACAGTGAGAGAGAGACAGAGAGAAAGGTCTTCCTTTGCCGTTGGTTCACTCTCCAATGGCCGCTGCGGCTGGCGCACTACACTGATCCGATGGCAGGAGCCAGGTGCTTCTCCTGGTCTCCCATGGGGTGCAGGGCCCAAGCACTTGGGCCATCCTCCACTGCACTCCCAGGCCACAGCAGAGAGCTGGCCTGGAAGAGGGGCAACTGGGACAGACTCCGGCGCCCCAACCGGGACTAGAACCTGGTGTGCCGGCGCCGCAAGGTGGAGGATTAGCCTAGTGAGCCGCGGCGCCGGCCCAATTGTTTTCTTCTTCTTCTTCTTTTTTTTTTTTTTTTTTTTTAATATTTTGTTTGTTTATTTGAGGAGCAGAATTATAGACAGAGAAAGGGAGAGAAAGAGAAAGGTCTTCCATCTGCTGGTTCACTCCCCAAATGATGCCACAGCAGGTGCCTAGCTGATCCGGATGCCAGGAGCTTCTTCCAGGTCTCTCGTGCGGGTGCAGGGCCCAAGGACTCGGGCCATCTTCCGCTGCTTTCCCAGGCCACAACAGAGAGGTGGATCGGAAGAGGAGCAGCTGGGACTCGAAGTGGCACCCATATGGGTTGCTGGTGCCACAGTTTTCGGAGGCTTAGCCCACTGTGCCACAGCTCTGGCCCTGATTGTTTTTCTTGTGGCTGTGGGTTCAGTGTCCTCGGGTGGAAGACTTCTCACCCTCAGTATGGAGGTGGGGGTGGGTGCTGTTCTGGCTGTTGCTGGATTTTATCTACATCTCTGTCCTCTTCCCACTAGAGCTCTGTATCACCCCCAGTTGAGCGTCACTGCTTTGCCTGACCTCATGCGGAGGCTCATGTTGTACAGCAGCTGTTTTCCAAGCCTTCCTATTTCACCCTTATCCTTTGGCTTGCCGTGTGCTGCTGCCTCTGAGGAGGGTGCCCTCCCTTCCCCACCCCTGCTGATAAGAGTGCTTTTGCTTATGGCTCGGTACTGGCTGCCTGGTGACGGGGTGATTTGCAGGTTCTGTGTACCTAGGCCTTGTCCTTCCAGCTCACTGCAAGAGAGCCCACCTCAGTGGTTTCGAGTAGTGTCTTAGGTCGAGGACTTTGGCTGTCCTTCCCCGGAGACAGAGGATGATCCTGCTGTTGTCCTCCCTTCTCCCGTCACAATGCGCCAGGCCATGGGGTTTGCTCTGCTTCCTGGCCACTTTTGTTCAGTCAGGGAGATGGGTCCTCATGAGCTTCCCACCAAGGAAGTAGAAATCTGAGGACCAGAGCTAGAGATGGGTGCTGACTGCCTGGGGCAGCTCCCAGGGTTTTGGCTTTGAGCAATCCAGTGGAAGCTTCAGCCGTGGTTCCTGTTGTGGCTTTCTGGAAGCACAGCCTGTAGTCTGGTGATTTTGTAGTTGGCCGAGGCTCTTATTTGAAAGTAAGAGTTACACAGAGAGAACAGAGGCAAAGAGAGAGGTCTGTCATCTGCTGGTTCACTTCCCATTTGGCCGCAATGGCTGACGCTGCGCCAATCGAAGCCCGGAATCAGGAGCTTCTTCTGGATCTCCCACGTGGGTGCAGGGGCCAAGGACTTGGGCCATCTTCTACTGCTTTCCCAGGCCACAGCAGAGAGCTGGATCAAAAGTGGAACAGCCGTGTCTGAAACCAGCACCCATATGGGATGTTGGTGCTTCAGGCCAGGGCGTTAACCTGCTACGCCACTGCAGCGGCCCCACTCCAAGCCTTCTGACCATAGAGGAGGCTGTCTCCCACTCTGCCCTCTCTGGGGCAACATCACCTGGCGGCTGTCACTCCTGCGCCTCAGGACCTCAATGTGTCGCCGCCCAAGGTGCTCATAGTGGCGCCTCCTCACCTTGAAAGAGCTGCTCTCTGCTGTCATTCAGACCTGCTTTGGGTGTCTCCCGTGGTTTCTTGTTGATCCCTGTACTGCGCGCCCCTCAGGAGCTGTAGACAGGCAGGGCTGAGCTGGAGTGTGTGCACAGCTGAGCCAGGTGTGTGTGTGTGTGTGTGCGCGCGCCTTCCTTTCCATCCCTGCTTGTTTCATTTTCCTTGAAGTTAATAATTACTTCCTTTTTATCCTTTGATTCCCCTGTGCTTGTTCACAGTGTGCTCCCCCACTGGCAGCATTGCACGTTTGTGTGGGGAGTGTCAGACATCCTGCTCTGTGCCTGTCCTGGGCTGTCTTGCAGTACATCTCTGGGAAAGGGGTGTGGGAGACCAGAGACGCGGCTTCTCGCCAGGCCTGTCTGTCTGGGTGTGTGCTCTCCTGTCCCTCAACACCATCTCTGCATTCCTTATAATTCTTTCGTTGTCGCTGTCTGGCTGCTGTCTGGTTTTTACCTTGGCGCCCCAACCGGGACTAGAACTCAGAGTACTGGCACTGCAGGTGGAGGATTAGCCTAGTGAGCCGCAGCGCCGGCTGACATTTAGCATTTTTTATGATTATGTGAATAATTCGGGGGTCACTCTAAAACAAATCAGATAAAATACTTACACAAAAAAGTATAAACCAGCTCTTTTTCCAAAACACAGGCAAAATCATTATTAACATTTTTTATTGCCCAGGGAGGGCTCATGGCCTGGCTCACTGAGGTGCTGGCAGTGTCCTTACAATGCTCCTGGTGGCCCTGACAGGGCCCGTGTGGGTGGACAGGGTGGCTGCTGCTGTGTTGTAGCGGTGCATCCCTCCAGGTGCCCGTGTGGTGCTCCTCAGTCCCGTCTTCAGGTGGTGTCCTCGGAAGTCTGCGGCAGTAATTTTCCTAGCTCCTTTTTTCCAGATTGCTTGGGGCTTCGGCTTCTGCAGGTGCCACAGCTGCAACAGAACTGTTTCTCTGGGTGCCAGGAAGCCTACACAGTTCCTCATGTGTTTTGGGAGCACCCGTAGTTCTCTTGGGTCACCGGTCACTCTGTTCTCTGCTTGTGTACTGTTGCACTAGCTGTTCTCTTACTGGGTGTTTGCTGGTAGCCAGTCGATCATTGCAGAACAGCAGCCCCTGGGATGTCTCTACTCCCCACCCCAAGCAGCCTTGTTCCACCTCTGTGCACATCGTGGGTCCCTCAGGCAGACCCAATAGTCTCTAAGTCTCTGCTTCTCACATCTCAGCTGTGACCCCCGGGACAGGGTGCTCTGACTGCCCTGGCTGCTGGAGGCTCACTGTGCTGTTCCCAGTGCTGGCCTGTGACGGCCTGGGCTTCCTTGCCCCATGCACGTCCATTTCCTCTGCTGCCCGCCCAAGATCCCTTCATTTCTGCCCACTCCTGTCTCCCTGAACGTGGTCATGTGACTGTCATTTTCTGCAGGCTGTGCGGAAGACCTTGGCTTCCTGCCCCAGTGCTGGCAGGTGCCCTGCACACGCTCATGGACCTGGCCTGCTTTGCCGGGCACCCCTTATGAGCTCCCATCACTGAGCACTGGGGTCCTGCAGCAGGGCTGTCACTGACCTCTTGTGTTTTCTGCCTGCAGCTGGGCCGCTGCACAAACAGCGTGGTGAAGTACGAGCTGATGCGCCCGTCCAACAAGGCGCCACTCTTGGTGCTGTGTGAAGACCACCGGGGCCGCATGGTAAAGCACCAGTGCTGTCCTGGCTGCGGCTACTTCTGCACGGCGGTAAGAGTCTGGCCTGGCCAGGGCCTCGCATGTCCTCTGCCTGGGCCCCTGTCTAGTCATGGGCACCTGCTCTTGGCTGCATCTGCCCTGCTGCAGCAGACATGTCCCATCCGGGGCTGCAGCACCTCACGATCCCCTCTCCAGCTACTGAGCTCATCCTAGACTGATTCCTTTGTCCCAGTTCCCTCCTGCCTGCTTGGGAGCCTTTGGCTTTCAGAGGTGACTGGGACTGTGGAGCCTGGGCACCATCCATCCCCATGACAGGACTGTGAACCTCCGGTCCACACACAGGGCACTTTCTCTTAAGGAGAGCCGTGGCTTCTGCCCTTGGCTGCCCTGCTTCTGCTGACTGAGGGTTGCCCGGGCCCCTGAGGATGGGCTCCTCCCTTGTAGCATGCTCCTGTGCGAGTGTCCACATGGATGAGTGCTCCCTTTGCCTGCAGCCTCAGGTGCCTACAGGCACCCTCCAGCCCCTTTGTGGACCTGGGCTTAGGACGTCCCCTCTGGAACTTCTCTCTGGACTTCACACCTAGGTGCCCCTCCCTGTCTTTAGCTTCTGTTATAAAAAACAGAAGCTGCTTCTCCATGTCATTGTCCCTGACTTTCTGCAGGAACACCGGTCCCTCCTGTGGTTTGCCTGAAACAAAGCACACATCTGGGGCATCTCTGTCCTCCTGACCTTCCTGTCTCATCAGCCCTCAGAGAATGGGCCCTTGTCTCTTGAGCAGAATGGCCAGAGAGCTTGTTGGCAGAGCAGGGCTGGGGCACGCACCCGGTGGCTCTGCCCAGCCTCAGCCTCAGCTTCTGCTTCAAGGTTGGGCCTGCGTTGGCTGCTTTGCCAACCCTGGGACCTCCTCCCAACACTGATGCTGGTCTGGGCAGGACTGGACTTCCTCTCCAAGCCCCTGCCAGGGTCACTCATGCATTCGGTCCACTGGGTTATTCTAAAATGATGTCTCTTCTTACTGTTTTTAGGGTAATTTCATGGAATGTCAGCCCGAAAGCAGCATCTCTCATCGTTTCCACAAAGACTGTGCCTCTCGCGTCAACAATGCCAGCTACTGTCCCCACTGCGGGGAGGACACCTCCAAGGCCAAAGAGGTGACAATAGCCAAGGCAGACACAACCTCCACCGTGACACTGGCCCCTGGGCAAGAGAAGAACTCAGCGGCAGAAGGCAGGGCAGACACCACTACGGGCAGGTACAGGGCCATCGGCCGAGCTTTCCCGTTTGTCTGAAAGTGTGGCTGCCTTTCCTTGTTAGTTGATTTATGCTGTTATCCGAAAGCCACCAACTCTGAACCTTGTTGAGATTGCTGACATTCAAGAAACACCGAAGTTTGTTGGTAGCCAATCTCTTTCAGTTTGGTTTCTTAGATTCATTCATTTGCTTATTTTTGAACCAAGTTTCACACTACCCTGGCTGATGCAGCTGTATAGTGTTTCTGTCTCTAGAACAGCCCCCAGAGGTACCTGTGCACGTCTGGTCCATGAGTGCCAGCTTCCACTGAGTTACCTGGCAGTAAGGTTTGAGGGCCCCAAATGAAGACAGGAAACAGCAATCTTAGAAGAGATGGAAATATTCTTATTGGACACATACCTTTGTCTTCTTGAAAGTCCGGGAGAAAGTGCTGAACAAACAGAGGTGCAGGTGTCAGGTGCCCCACTCCCTGCTGGACAACAAAGTGATGAAAGAGATTCAGTACAATCTGTAGACTGTCTAACAGAACAAGCGCCTTTGGAAATATCACACTGAAGGTCACTTAAAACACTCCCAGTCTGGATGTACCCAGTTACAGACTGGAACACCTCTATTTTCTTCATGTGAACCTCTGGCCTCCTGCACCTGACCCCAGTCCCGTGAGTGTCCTTTGTGGGGAGTGGGCAGTGGCCCCAGTAGATCCAGCCTAAAGCTCCCTCAGAAGACAGATCGGAGCACATGGCCCGAAGTGATGCGGACACTGAGTGAAGTTGTGAGCACATGTGATGAGGAATCTGATTACGAATCCTGGCCTGGCACATGCAGGGGCTGGGAGGGCAGGGAGTTGAGGGAGTAGGCAGGCATTCTCCTCAGAAGAGCCGCGTGCTCTAGAGGTCAGCGTAACCTGGGTCTCTGTTCACTGTCTGAAATTGAACGTGTCGCTGCTTTCCTCCCCTGAAAGCACTGTGGGACCGCTGCTGTCAGAGGATGACAAGCCGCAGAGCGCAGCTGCCCCAGCCGCCGAAGGCGTTGACCCCACAGGAGCCGGCGGGCTCGCGAGGCCCACCTCCGGGCTTTGCCAGGGACCCGGGAAGGAAACCCTGGAAAGTGCGCTGATTGCACTCGACTCGGAAAAGTAAGAGCAGGGCTGCGTGCCCAGAGGTTTCCCGGGGCACCTGTGACTGTGTTCCCCACATTCTGCTTGCAGCTGGGGTCGTGCTGTCCATCAGAACACCTCGCCAGTGTTCATGCGATATTGTGAGAGTGTTGCTAGTTTTTGTCCTTGTTACACCGTGACCAAAAGGAGACAACTCTGAAATCTGGCGGTCTGAGATTTCACAGACATAGGCCCATTTGCATTTGGGCTGTGGCCCCTGTCCCCTGGCTGGGCAGTGCAAGGGTTGGGTCAAGAGACCCCTCAGTCTTCCAAACACAGCTCGCCCGCTTCTGGCCCCATGAGGCCTGGGGCAGCTTTGCCTTCCTTAGTGACGTGCATGGGGTCATAGCCAGGGGACACAGGCGCACTCTGGTGTTGGCAAGTCCGTCCCCAGTGCTTCCTCAGCAGGTGGCTTCTCCCTTCCCTCCTGTCCATCCACCTCAGGGCCGTTCTTTCAGTGACTGTTGTGTCCATTGCTGCCCACGATCCCTGCACACTGACCGGGGCCTGCACTATTTCTGCCTGCCCTTTGACTGTCAGCTTAGTTTTTGACTGACACAGCAAAAGTGCCTGTGTTCCCACTCTGCCCGCCCTGTATGCTCATTGCAGCTAGAGGATGACCAGTGCACGTAGTGTGACAAGGGTCAGCTCCCACTCAAGATGGGCCCCACATGCCGTTGTGCTGAGCATATCTCAGCAGTCCTCAAGGCCTCTGGGACCTCATTCCACTTGCCGGAGGTTCCTGTGTGCCATGGTTGCTTCTGACAACAGTGGGGGGCACTCAGGTGCCATGAGCCAGACACAGTTGTTTATTTTTGTTGTTGTTACCATGAGATCCCCAACACTGGCAGGGTTGGTGCCCTTGACTCTGAGGAATTGGTAGGTAGTGGTCACCCGGGCCCTTGAGCTCCCAGCTTCTTTCTCATGTGCGAGACATGGAGCCCAGCTGACTCTGTGCTGTGCTTTCCTGCAGACCCAAGAAGCTGCGCTTCCACCCAAAGCAGCTGTACTTCTCCGCCAGGCAAGGGGAGCTGCAGAAAGTGCTCCTCATGCTGGGTGAGTAGCAGTGCCGCGCACACGCGGGCCTCTGCTGGGACTCACATGGGACCAGGGTGGTCAGGGACTGGGCTGCCCACTGGTGTACAGCCTGCTGCTGGGCTGGCATTGGAAACATTCCCTATGCATCTTTTAATGCCTGGAAAGGAATTAGAGATGGGGTTATTCAATCAAGCGGAAATATAGAGGCTACAAAAAGTGAGATGAGTGTGGCAGGGCCTGGAGTGGGGGCAGTCGTGGTGTAAACAAAGGCCAGATTTGGAGCCCATTGCTGAGTCGTGTTTTATGACAGACAGCCCTGTTGTTTTAAATTCCCCGCACCCAGAAGCCTGCTTTCCAGACCCTTCCTGGTGCCGATTTGATCTCTGATCTCATAACTCTAGGCTTCAGTTCTAATGTTTGTCTTCCCTGGGTTGAAAAGGGTGATTTTATGTCTTTTACTTCACAGTACCTCACGAAAGATGCTAAACCGTTTTGTTCTTTAAAAAACATCCTCGATGTCTTGTTCTGTGTGAGCGCCTGTGGTTGGCTCTGCCTCCTGCAAGTCCCGTCTTACCCTCTGAGCAGATGCAGCACTGTCTCTGTTCAGATGTGGATGACCAGTATGGCCATTTTATTCATTTTCCTCCTGGATTTTGCACGGTGCAAAGGTGGTGCCCTTGCTGAATGTCCATCCAGGGCCTTGCTCCCGCCCCACAGAGGGTGACTACTCTCAGGTCATTTTGCCCTTGCTGGTGCCTCAAGGGGCATGGGGCTACTTTTAACCAGGAGTGATAGAAACATAGAAAAAAACCAAGAAATTGGAAGCATCCCAGGGTTTGAGGAGGGGTGTGAGATCATTTCTGATGGACAGAGCTGCCTGCAAAGGTCTACCTAGAGCTGAGCTGGGTGCCTGGGCACTCACCTGAGGGCCTGATCCTGTTACCAGAGTTGCTGTTGATCTTGACGCATCCATTTGGTCCTTCGTGACTGCCTGAGTGGTGGTGTGGCTGTCTCAGAAGTAAGTAGTTAAATCGTGTTTGTTCACAGTTGATGGAATCGACCCCAACTTCAAAATGGAGCACCAGAGTAAGCGGTCCCCACTGCATGCCGCGGCAGAGGCTGGCCACGTGGACATCTGCCACATGCTCGTTCAGGTTTGGCCTTGGCTGTCCCCGAGCCTCTTGTCCGTCCTCTGTCTGGGTAGAACTGTTCCCTATTCGTGGTTTTCACTGGGGAAAAGTCAGGTAGTGCTGTGAGCCTGAGAGGGAAACCCATACTTGTGTCAGGGTGCTTCCATGTGTGCCACCCCCTCTGAAGATAGCGTGCTGTTTTTCTAAGGTTTTCTAACGTTCAGGCTGCAGATCTCATTTTAGTACTTGCTGGATTGCCACCATGGAAGGGGAGGGAGCAGCCCAAAGACAGACACTTCTGCTTCCCCAGCCCTGATTGTCAGTTGTCTCATTAGGTCTCCTGATTTAAGTCAGAATTTCTGGTAATTATTTGATTATGTAAATACTTTCTTTTTTTTCTTAATTTTCATTTTATTTGAAAGAAATCTTGTATTTGCTGGTTTACTCTATAGTTGCCCACAACAACCAGGACAGGGGCAAGCCAAAGCCAGGAACCTGGAACATGAGTAGCGGGGACCTAAGTACTTGAGCCATCACCCACTGCCTCGCACGTGTGCATTGGCAGGGAGCTGGATCAGAAGTGGAGCAGTCAGGACTTGAGCCAGCCCTTTCTCCACGGGGTGTGGGCATCCTACATCCCCTGTACGTGCTTTCTGAGCCGAGCTGCGTCATCCTCGACGGCTTGTTCTGTGTGAGCGCCTGTGGTTGGCTCTGCCTCTGCAAGTCCCGTCTTACCCTCTGAGCAGATGCAGCACTGTCTCTGCTCAGATGTGGATGCTGTGGTACCAGCTCTTGTGTTGCCGCCCCTGGACCTCGTGTCCCCAGTCCTGCATTCAGTTCCCGTCTCCTGGATGCCACATTTTAAGTCCATTTCAGTCTAACTTTTCGTCGTTCTGATGTTACCTACCCTTTGTTTCTAGAACCTTCAGGAACTTTCCTTTAACCCCATTGGTTCAAAGTCCCACCTCAACGTAGCATAGACCCTCCGATCCCTTGGGCTTGTGACTTGCACACTCAGTGTCGGCGTCCTGGCAGGTGTTCCCATGACTGCTCTGAAAAGGGCCTCCTGGAGTCTTTGGCTGGGTCTGCTGTTCGACCTTGCTGAGGTCCATCTTGATGCACTTTTTTTTTTTTTTTGGACAGGCAGAGTGGATAGTGAGAGAAAGAGACAGAGAGAAAGGTCTTCCTTTTGCCATTGGTTCACCCTCCAATGGCCGCCACGGCTGGCGCGCTGCCGAAGGCAGGAGCCAGGTGCTTCTCCTGGTCTCCCATGGGGTGCAGGGCCCAAGCACTTGGGCCATCCTCCACTGCACTCCCTGGCCACAGCAGAGAGCTGGCCTGGAAGAGGGGCAACCGGGACAGAATCCAGCGCCCTGACTGGGACTAAAACCTGGTGTGCCGGCGCCGCTAGGTGGAGGATTAGCCTAGTGAGCCGCAGCGCCGGCCCGTCTTGATGCACTTTTAGGAGGTGTTTTCAACTTTACCTTCCAGCTCCGTGGGAATTCTTACTCTGCACTGAGTGTCTCTTCCTGCCCCCTGGTGGTTCTGTTGTCAGACACCAGGGGTGCACGTCTCAGTGGCAACCAGAGCCTTAGCCTTAGCCTTAGGCCAGAGGAGAGCTGCATTTTCCTGGGACAGGTAAAGGGGACAGTGAGACTGGAGCGTTCCCTAAAGAGGTTTCCTTCCTGGGAAGCAGTTTGGGAGGGGTTTTGTACCACGTGGGCGAGGCGTGTCCAGGCTTGCTTCGTGAGGTTCAGAGCCCCTGATTTCCTTGACCATGGTGCTTGTTGAAGGGCAGCCTACCTGCTGCCTCCTTTGATAAACATTGTGCAGAGTAAACTGAGTCATGCTCCACTCCAGTTCCTGAACCCCCTTGCCTAGATCCCACCCTCGTTGCAAGTCCCCCCTGCAGCCTTCCCCTTCTCCTAGGGTAAGGGAGGGAAGCCATTCTTCTGTCACTGTGTCCTGCTGAACAGGGGGGCTGCCCTCCTCCAGGTTCCAGGAAAGCAACATGCATGCTGCAACATCAGGGTGTGTCTTGGTTGAGCAGGAGCAGCTGTCAAGGCTGTTGGCAATGAGGCAGGGTATCGAGATGTGTGCCTGTCATCGTTGGCTTTAGGCCTGCACTGCTCACAGGGGTTCTTCCTGGAGGGTCAGGGGAGGTTCAGGAGCCTTCTTCACTCAGCTCTGGGGATTCCAGAGTTGTCCTGTCTTGTCATTGAAGAGAAGGAGGAGGGTGAGCAGTCCCATGTCTCGTCCAGTCCTAACCAGATGGCATCTTTCAGGTCTTAAGGGTAGCCCCATCTCCTGGTCTCCGTGGAGGCCTCAGCTCCCTGCTTGTGGGTGGGGTCTATCTCAGTGGATGAGGGCTGGTTGCTGTTTGCAGCTGGGTGGAGAGCAGCCACCACCTGCCCTGATGGCATCCGTGTCTCATGGCTCTCTGAGCAGGCTGAGAGGCAACCACGGTGGGCAGGGTCTGACCCCACAACTGAAACTGACCAGGACCTAAAGTTCTGTTGGGGCTGCTGTAACTCGGGTGAGTCGTGGATGAGAGCTTCCACCAGTTTTCTTGAGTTTTCTGAAGGTTTGGCTCAGGGCACCCTCAGGGTCTGATTGCCTCTCTCCATCCTTCCAGGCAACTACAGTACAGGCAACAGGCAGTTTCCAACCTAGCTCTAAAGCCTGGAACACTGCAGACCTCTCCTGTCACATAACTGCCATCCCGTGTCACTGGCCACTCCTGGGCCGACCGGGTCTAAGCTGATTTCATAGGTTTGCAGGGGCTTCTCCAGCCTTTTCAGTTGGGTGGAGGAAGACTCTGGCCCCCCATGAAGGAGCTGTAAGCGTGGGGGTGTTCAGATTACCCCGGGGCTATGTTGTGACTGTGAGGCCCACTGTCCACCCTCTTTGGCCAGCGGGGTGCAGCAGGCCTGGTCTGCATCGGGTTTCTATGTCATCGATCAATCCCTTTCCCTGGCTTTCGCATCTTAAGCAGCCAGTTGTATACCTTTGCTGTAACAACTGGGTCAGGCGCACGCCTTGCGACTCCAGTGTAGTTTCTGTGTGATCTACACTTCTCTGTCATTTCTTTTGGTAGTTTTTATCCCCAGAGTTACTCAAGCTTGGAAACCTTCTCGCTAGGCTCCCTGAGTCTCCCTAGGAGCCCTGAGGCTCCCCTGCTGAAGGCATGTTAGGTTCCCCAGGGCACTGGGATTCTTCCTCTCAGTTCTGCCCTCCCGCAACCATGTCGGCTTTGCCATGCCTCTTGTGGCTTCAGAGTCCCTCCTGGTGTCCTCTGTGGTATATACAGCTGCCTGTTTGCTGTACAGCCTGTAGCATCCTGATTGCCTGGCTGTTAGCATTTGGGCATCCTCTCTCTCGGGAGCTGGCCATGGGCATCGACCTCTGAGATGGTACACCTGGAGCAGGTACAGGATATGAAAGTCTTTCCTGCCCCCATTTCCAGTGCCCTCGCCAGTGCTGTCATTTCTGCCTTTTGTGCAGACACCTGGAGAGTGACTCTGAGCTTCCCAGTGGCATGCCCTGCCCTGCACTGACCACTTACCCCCTGCTGCCGTCACACTCCACATGTCCTCTGCCTTCAGCCCTTCCCTGCCTCGGACACCAGGACTGGCGCTGCAAGGGTGTTCCTGTGCTTGGGTCCTGAGACACTGGCAGTAGCAGGGCAGGTTCAGGGGCTGCCAGGGTAGTAGAGTGATGTTCCGATACCCAGCCATCATCAACTGATTCTGCCCTTTTGGATTCAAAACATTTGCCGCTTGGTATGAAGTCCAGGCAGTTAAAATTGGGTTTTCTGTTTCTCTAATCAGCAGACACATGGCTGGCACTGCCCTTAGCAGGACACTGTATCTAAACTTCTAGAAAAGTAAGCCCCCATGCATTTTATTTATTTGAAAGGTGGAGTTAGAGAGAGGGAGAGGGAGAGGCAGAGAGAGGGAGGGAGGGAGTTAGGGGGAGAGAGAGGGAGAGGCAGAGAGAGATCTCCCATCTGCTGGTTTGCTCTCCAGATGGTCACAATGCCTGTGGCTGGGACAGGCCCAGGCCAGGAGCCTGGAACTCCATTTGCTTTCCCACATGGGTGACAGGGGCCCAAGTACCTGGGCCATCTTCCACTGCCTTCTGAGATGCACTTGAACTGGGGCTCATTTGGGACGTCGGCTTTGCAGGTGGTGGCTTGGCCCACTGTGCCACAATACAGGTAGGCAAATCCCATCAGTGTGTCCTCAGTTGGGACACAGCCAAGTCACAAGTTGTCCACCTGTGATCTTGGGGCAAGCTCTGTTGTCCTTTTGTGGTTAGAAATCCTGGACATTTCACAGTCTCTCTAGATATTTGTGTTTTTTCTTTTGGTACTTTGTATTCTCCCTTTGTCAGATAATTGATTTTTTATTTTTATTTATTTATTTAGAGAGAGAGAGAAAGCAGACAGGTAGAGTTCACCTGTGCTGGTTCACTACCCAGATGGCCAGGACTAGCTTGTGACCAACGCCTGGGCCTGGGAACTCAATCCAGGTTCTCCCACTTAGATGCCAGCAACTCAGTGACCTGAGCCATCCCCACTGCCTCGAAGGGTCTGCATTAGTAGGAAGCTGGAACAGAACCGAGGCACTCTGATGTAGATGCAGGCATCTGAATGGCTGCACACCTGCTCTTGGTTACAGCTATAGTGGTGGTATCAAGAGCCCCCTTTGAGGATCTGGTGATAAGAAGGTCACAGACACATCAGGCCTGTTCCCCCTCAGGCCTCAACTCAAGATTCCCTGAGAAGGATGGGGGAGTTTAATCCTTGTAGTGGAACAGTCTGTCCATACTGCAGTTTCTGGTGATGTTTCAATTCTTCCTATTCAAAAACAGATATCTTTGGGTACTCAGGGTCCAAGACAATGCAAAAGAATGCATTCTTTAGGTATAAGATGGCAAAAATTTGCCATTCCCAGGTGGATTGATCATCAGGGTTTAGGGATTGGGTGTCAGGGCATGAATGCTCTGACTGCTTCATTCAT